CCTAAACCTAAACCTAAACCCTAGACCCGAACCTGTGCCACAAGATCAGTTGACTCAGGATGGGTTTCCTTTGGGACCGGCGGCCGAGCCCTCAGTTGATGGTTCAGGGTTTAGGGTTAAGGGTTGTGGGTTTAGGGTTTAGGGTTTAGGGTTGTTTAGAGTTTTAGGGTTTAGGGTTTGGGGTTGTTTAGAGTTTTAGGGTTTAGGGTGGAGGATCGAAGGGCGCCTTATTTGGGGTTCTAGAATGGGGGACTATAAGGGTGGTAGGGTTTAGGAGATAAGGGCTCTTTAAGGGGGTTCGATAAGGGGGACTATAAGGGTTCCCTATGGGTTGAGGGATCGGAAGTTTTCCAAAAAGCTTCCACCACCTCTAATACTGTAGGTAGGCGGGTTTCGGGGTTCACGGATTTAGGGGTTTGGGGGTTATCGCCGCGAACATAATATAGGGGCCTCAACGATTAGAATAGGGTTTTGGGGCCCATTATCCTATAAATACAACAAGGAGCCCCAAAATTTAGAATAGTATTGGTAATTATTTAGGCCCTTACATTATGCTTTTTGTTATATACTTGGTGTTGGAAGTGCCCGTCCTTGCCATCTTGTTGCCTGCGATCTGCACGACTGTGATTCGTAGCTGAGATCTTGTTTTCTGAGCCAGAGTCAGGGTTTCGTTTGTTGGTAGCAGGCTTCGTCTGCTGGATTCGACGTTGCTGGAGGAGACCACCCTAAACTTCATACTGTTTACCCTGGTCTATGGAACATGCTACGTTCAGGGTTTAGGGTGCATAGAGCTGTAGGTTGTTTTCAAGCTTTAAGGTTTAGGGTTTGGGGTTGCGGAATTGAGGGTGCAGGCTCAGCTGCGTCTGTAGCACTGTGCCTTTCAGGCGGGCTCTTGTTTTGGCCTTTTAACTGTTGTAAGTTGTAAGGTTGTGATCGGTTCTACAATCAACAGTACTTTTTTCCTTTGTCTCCATGCGGATCCCGTTGCATACAAGTACAGATACATACTATTGCATATGCATATGTATATCTGGGAGACGTCCATATTGACCCACACGTGTATGTGCATATATATATATATACATACATACATACATACATACATACATACATACATACATACATACATATATATATATATATGTATATGCGTGTGCAAGTATAGATAGCAGCTATGTCTATATGCATATACATATATGTGTATCTACAGGTGTATATCTATATCTATATATATATATATATATATGCATGTCGATATGCGTATGTGCTGTTTGATCTATTTCTGTCTGTGATACAGATCAACATGTCTACATCGTTTCTTCGAGTCCCCGTTGTTGGGTCTTATCTTTGAGTTCCGGCTGATATGGGATACATTCCCGACTCGGCTTAGGGCTTCGGGGCTAAGGTTTAGGGTTTGGCTCTGGAGGGGGCTTTGGTTTCCCAAAGCGTCCTAGGTAGTATTAGGGGGGATACTTTCCCAACTCATCAACAATGATTCCTAAGATAGAAGCGCCGCACGATCCACATTCTAGCTACGTAGGCCCCTAAACCCTAAACCCTAAGCCCTCGCACTTTAGGACCTTTTGGGCTTGCGAGGCTTGTCGGCGTCCCATGCGTTCTGGCCGCTTCGGTGTTGCAGCGACGACCTCAGAATGCTGCAAGTGGGTCGTGCAGGGGATGAGTGCTTCGGGTCCAGGGGCAGGTTTCGGGCTGGCGGGCTGTAATATAGTGGCATTTATAATAACTAGAATAGGGTTTGGGGGTAGATTATACTATAATTTTAGTAAGGAGCCCCCAGAACCTTATTCCAGTTATTAAGGCCCCTTTTTCAGTCTGGGTCTTGGGCTTGACTGTTTAGGTTTGGATTCTTCGGGAGCCAGGGCCCACTGAACGCGTGTTATCTGGATAGTGTTCATGGTTGCGTGAGGGTATATGGGAGTGTTAGAGCAAGGGAACTCGGACAACAAACTCCCTAAATAGTAAGAGCCTCATGCTACTGCTTCTACTGATTCCCCTAATCAAGGTATGGTACCCTATACTTTTCAGAGACCCCCAGATAGCACCGACAGATGTTATTGGCAGTTCCTAAGCTTGAAGACTTGGGGCGCCGGGTTTGGAATTGGATTTAGGGTTCCTAAACCCTAAACCCTAGACCCTAAACCCTAAACCGTTCAGTGTATCAGGCTTCGGTTGTGGATTCTGTTCTTACCAAATCCTAAGCTCCGAATTTGGTAGATTCCGAAAATAGGGAACCCAAATATAGTACCCTTAATAGTAGGATCCCTCTTTATAAGGACCCCAAAATAAGGTACCCCCAATTTTCGGAAAACCCCCATTTAAACTCTGAACCCAATCCCGGCCTTTCCTCCTTCATGGCGTGCAGGCTGCGATAGCAGGGCAGCTGGTGTAAGCCTCAACACCCGAGGTCCCATAGACCCTGAAACCCCTAAACCTAAACCCCAAAGCCCCAAATCTTAGACGCCAACATCCCGAAAAATCTTAACCCCAAACCCCACCCTAGACACCCTGAACCCCCGCAAGTTGAACCCCTAACGCCCCTAATCGCCTAAGCTCTGGCCCTAGTAAAAACCCCCGGCCTCATGCCTAAAAACCTCTAGCTCTCTGAACTCTTTACCCTGGTCCCCAACCCTTTTGGGGTTTTAGGGTTCAGGTTTTTGGGGATTTAGGGTTTAGGGTCTAGAGCTTTGGGTGTTTAGGGTTCAGGGTTTTGGGGGTTTAGGGTTCAGGGCTTTGGGGGTTTAGGGTTCAGGGCTTTGGAGGTTTAGGGTTTAGGGCACTACGACGGAGCCCGCACGGAGCTTTAGGGGCGTTGGATCTTGAGCAGAGGCTTTCGGATGAAGGGTTGGCATGAGGCTTTGGGTTTAAGGGTCGACAGTTTAGGCTGTAGTATAGGGGACTCAAGAATTACCTATGCTATTGTGGGGGCTCCTTATTACCCCCAAAACCCTATTCTACTTGTTAAGGCCCCTACATTAGGGTTGAGTGTTTCGGGTTGAGGTTTAGGCTTTAGGATGCCTTGGGTGCTGAGTCTCTGTTTGACGCTTCATCAGAGACTCCACATGGCGCAAGACTAAACTCGCCTTGAACCCTAAACCCGACACCCCGAACCCTTCAACCTTGAAAGTGATTTCTCTAGGACCTTATCGTATCCTTGATTATAGTAACTAGCCGCATAACTAGCCCTTATAGCAACCTGCATGAACTCTTCTAGTAGCCGTGATGCTACCCCCCCCCCCCTCCCCAGACCCCGATTTTTGCTTCCTGATCGCTGAACACGATTGCTACGGCTGAGGCTCAAGTTCCAAACATGCCTGGCCCTGCAAACTCCCCCCATAAAGACCCGAACTTGGAGAGTATCCAGATCTGTCCAGGTATGTGCGCTTTGCAAAGAAGCCCATGGCAGCACCGTGCCATAGGCCGGGAGTAGTGTGGGGTTTCAGATTTATGATATCTGTACTTATCTGTACTGAGGGCCTATATTGTTGCAAAAGCTCAGGTGGCAGTATAAGACTGAGTACCACAAACACCACATCCCGGAACTCCGCTGAGTAGTCCGGCAGGCGTCCTGGCGCGGCACTCATCAGAATAACGTCGGTGACTGCGGTCATAAGCGCTAAACCCAAATCCCCTAAACCTCAAACGGCTGTTCGTTCTTCCGGGACCTAGCGACCTGCCAGAGCCCGCCTCAGCTGGGGGCGAAGGCCAGTTCGTCTAGATGTTTGAAGCATGGGCACTATGGGTCCCGAGGGTTTAGGGTTTCGGGTTTACGGGCCTAGGGGTTACACTCTTCCAAATAATATCATGAACCTACATAACTTACATAACTACTCTCCAACGGGACCCTTGGGGCAGCCATGTCCCTGGTTACTATAACCCCCAAATCCTCGTCTGATGCATCAGGGGCCCTAAACCCTAAACCCGAAACCCTAAACCCCCAAACCCTGAACCCCCCAAACCCCTAAACCCTTAAACCCAAAAGAACAGGGATCCAGAGTAAACCCCACAGGTATGTTGGTTTAAAATTCAACCTGTAAGCCTTGAGCATACAGCCCGAAACAAAGGTTGGACTAAGCCTCTACCCTAAACTGAGTTCGTGTTAAGGCACGGAAGTTTCTATGTACTGCTTTAGCTTACATCAAGTTTCATAACAAGGCCCCTCAGCCAATAACATAGAACTTTAATTCGGTTATTTAACATCTTATAATAGCCCTTAACTTTGATCCTGAACCCGCTGAACCCTGAAACCCAAACCCCAAACCCTAAACCCCCACCCCTCCGAAGCATTTATGCAAGAATCAGTAATCTAGAGGCCTGAACAGCTAGTAACGGTATGCCCTTGTAGCCCCGTGCAGCTTTGCTAGAATGTGCCATGAGACCCGCTAAGGCCCCCTTCGTTTTTCCATTCTTTTCAGAACCAAAAACTTATGCAGTGGATTAGCCCCAGAAATCCAATAAAGTCATATACAGCCCTGCCTAAGCCAGAAAACCCGAAACCCTAAATATCTTTAAAGTCTATATACCCTAAGCTGCGAGCCTTGCAGGGTCACCGAAAGAGGGGCTCGACGTCTCCTCGTCATTGGCCTGGCGACGGCCTCAACCCCCAAATGTGACGTAAACTTGTGGTTGAACAGTTGGACAGGGTTATCATAGGGTCTTGTGGCGTTGCTACTGAGCTTACTATGAGGATTCTACAAGGGTTGTTTAAAGGGTGTTGCGAGGCTTCTGAGGAAGGGTTCTGTGAGGCGCGAGTCTGACCAATGGCGCGGAAACAGGAAACTGTCAACCGGTCTCAGCAATGGCGTCCTGACACTGCCGCAAATTCTAAACCTAAAACTGTCTGACTCTGCCCCACGACCCCAATTCCTGTGCAGTCAACCCACAGGCCAGATTTCCTGTAATTGCTGCGACTGATCCCATCGAGCGCTGTTGAAGACAAAGTCCTTGAATCAAGGATTATAAGGGGTATTGGGCTCTCTGGGATCTGCATACTCTAAACCCTAAACTCCAGCTAAACCCTATAAACCCTAAGCCCTAAACTCCAGCCCAGAATCTCCATCGAGCGAGGTTGCCGAATTCGTGTCCCTGGCTTTCCTGCCGCTGTCCCAGGCGGACTGATGTCCCGTGGAGCATTTGAGTTTCTAGAGCCCAGCCGGAGCGCCCAATTGTTCGCAACAGGCTCAACAACAAGGAAAGGGCAACCAGAAACCGCTAAACCCAAAATGTTCCAAACTGAAAAATCCGCAAACCCAAGCGGCCCTTACCCGGAAACCCTGTAGACACCTGCAGCCCCTAAAGGCATTACCGTTCACCGGCACAGTTCAGGGATTGCGTTGAGTTTCGATTTTAGTGTGTTGGGTTCAGCGGGCTTTATGAATGAATCCTCAAGGTTAGAACCTGAAGTCCACTTGGAGCGTTTAGGTTCCCATTACATACTGGTATCCACAAGAAAATGAATCCGGGCGAAGACTCTTCGTAAAGCCTCAAACCCTAGAAAGCCTAACTGTGGGTAGTCTACAGCCCATGGCCTAAACCCTTAAAGCCTCAATGGTCAGTGGCTTAGGAGCAGTGAGTAGTACTGCTGAGACAGGGGATGCTTGCAAGGCATCAGGATTCTTAGGCCAAAAGCAACGTGTGTGTGTGTGTGTGAGGCGGTGCATGGACAAATAGACTGGCGAAAAAAGATGTCCATCCGAAAGGTTTAATCCTCCCAGGGCACCTTTGTAACTACCCCTCAAGTAGTGGATATGCTTCTACTAACTAGGCCACACGGGACAGTAGCAGACAAGATTTTGCTGGAGTTTGGTCGGGAAAGCCGAGCCCGAAACAGAGAGGCTTGCCCCATGAACGCGTCGTGCCTCGTCTTCCTGTACTTCTGGAAGGCTGGGCCACTATCACTGAAAGCCCTAAACCTGAAACCCTAAACCCAAAACCCTAACCCCGAACCCAAAACCCCAAACCTAAACCCCCAGAGACCAAACCCTTAAACCCACAACCCTCAACCCTAAACCCTCAACCCAGTCTCTGGGGGTTTCGACTGAGTCAGACCGCGGCTTCGCGGCTTAGCAGTTGACCTCTAATGTAGGGGCCCAAACCCACATTCTAACTATTAATCTCCTATGTCAGGAGATTTAGGTGGAGGGGCTTTGGTCTCAATGTAGGGGCCTTAAAGAATTAGCAGTATCTATTGCTAAGGGCTCCTTATCACAACGATACTATAAAGGGGCCCGAAACCCTATTCTAATTATTGAGGCCGCTACAGTACTCTTGAGGGTTTCGTTTCGGTCTGGGGCATCCTTCGATTGTGAGCTGCCGCAGCTTGGCTATGTGCTAGCACCCCATGCAAACCCTAAGCCGACGTCTTACCAGCAGATTCAGGAATGGCAATGTCTAATTCGGAATCGTATTCTCTTATGTCCGAGGTGAAGACCCTATGAAGCTGAGTCAACCTATTGCAAGGCCATGACCGCTGTTTATTGCCTCCGCACAGCCTTCGCGCCCTATATACATCCAGTGGGAGCAGCTACGACACACAGATCGTGAACGCAATACAGACTCCAAAACGACACCGCCCCACGCCGCAAGCCCCTCAAATATGGTCATCCTCACAGTCTGAGAACAAGCCTAAACCCAAAAGTTGCAAGCAAGAACCCGAAAGCCCTTACCACAAACCTAAGCAAGTCCCAAAGGCCCTGGGCGAACCTAAACCCTAAACCTTAAACCCTAAGCCCTAAACCTTAAACCCTATAAGCCCTAAGCCGTAAACCCTAAACCCTAAACCCCTAAACCCGAATGCGAATGATCTGCTGATCTGCCAGGAGTCGAAGCGAGCTCAAGTGTTGCAGCTGAGGGAGGCCGTTGGCGAGGCCAGGAAGGAAACGGTTTGGGGTTTTGGGTTTTTGGTTTAGGGATTTGGGTTTTTGGTTTAGGGTTTTTGGGCTTAGGGTTTAGGGTTTTGGGCTTAGGGTTTTGGGTTTTGGGTATAGGGTTTTGGGTTTAGGGTTTTGGTTTTTGGGTTTTGGGTTTTAGGGTTCAGGGGTTGTTTTCGTGGTCCCACTACGGTTTCTGCAGGGTGCAGGTTTTGTCAAGGTCGCAACATAAAGTTTCCAGAGGGGTGCTTGAGGGTTTAGGTTTTAGGGACCTGCATTGCAATGGAAGGGCTTGCGAGGTCTTAAACTTACATGGTTTTATAGGGCTACAGGGCTTGGGCTCTAACAGCAGCCTGTCACCGCGGCTGGTCGCTTTTGGGGTTAAGGGTTTGGGTGCGGGGCTCGGGGTTTAGGTGACATCTTATATACAGATGGAGAAACCACCACTGGTCCGCTGATTCTTCTTCACAAATGCAGCAGGGATCGCCGGCTTCAGCTGCAAGCTGGAAGGGCTATGGACCTGCGCAGACAAAAGACTTGATATTGACAGGGACCTGCTTCATGGTTGGGCATTCAAAGCCAAAACCCCTAAACTCCTGAACCCTAAACCCTATTTACGGGTGATGTCATCATCAATTTTCGTTCCTGGGCTGACTTTCGTCTCAGCTGGGTCTGGAGCTATACGCTGAAGCCTAAAATCTAACCAAGAACCGGTATTTTTTTTAGTCTGCCTCCTAGGTTTTTTACGAGTTTTTACAGGATTGGTCTATTCGGTTGAAGAGTTGTAGGGTTTTGATACGACTTCTGTGGGATTTTCGACGGGACCGTTGGGGGTTTCTTATGGTTAGCTTCCGACATTGTCGTGGTGGCGTGGAGTTGGGTTTCTGGCTTGAGTGCCTGACGATAATGAGGATCTGAAAGGTACAGTAGTGTTAGTATAGGATTTTTGGGAGCCTTAACAATCAGAACAGGGTGTTGGGATGCGGGGGGGGGGGGTGGGGGGCATACCATGCAAAGTTTTTATTCGGGACCGTAAGGAAGCACTCAGCACTATTTCGAGCCCCATAAAAGGGCTTCCTTTGGGTTGAGGTGTCCATCTTGGCTCTGCGGGTCCAGGATGTCAAGTCGCTCGGGCCTCCCTTACCCATCAAGAACCTACGGATTCCAGGGCACATACATATAGGGAAATCACAATCCAGAGTTAATCCATAATCCTTTTCACTATAGATTTCTAAAGGTGCGGGTGGGGTTCGCCAGGAGTCTTTGCGATGTACATTTTTTGGAGCATGTCGTCATATAGGATGTAGTGGGGTATTAGCTAGAGCCGAATACGTCGACTTCAGGGCTTTGTGCGCTCTTTATGTTGCGACATCCCCTTGTTTCACTCTCCGGCTGTTCCTGACCCTAAACCCCTAAACCCTAAACCCTAAACCCCTACACCCTAAACCCTAAACCAAGCCCTCAAATCCAAAGTCTCTGATGAAGGTCTTTGTGTGCTTCCTGGCACTTAGCGCATGGGCCCTGCCGTGGCTTCGACCCAATTGAGCAGCTGCGCGAGTTCTTCGGTAACACGGGCAAGAACACTGATTCCTAGGTAGCTCTTGTTGATATGGGGACCTGCGTAGTACCAATACTATTTCTCACATTTGCTCATACTATACTACAACATATCCAACACGCCGTTCTAACGATGACGCAAGGCAGATACAACTGCAACAAACAACCGTGACATCCCGTAGAACCCAGAGAGATGCCCTTCAATGGATCCAAAAGGTCTGACTATTCTGGCCCCTACAGCCCTCAACCCTAAACCCTAAACCTTAAGCCCTAAACCCTAAACCCTAAACCTACAACCCTAAACCCTAAACCCTTTAGGTCTGATTAATTATTCTGCCCCCCTACATGAAAGGGGAGCTCATGCCCATGAGGTTTAAAAATCAGGTTGCAGCGAATATACCCACATCCCTAAGCCCTCTACCCTAAACTGCACGCCTTCAAGCCCGAAGGCCCCCCCCCCTCATAACCCTGAACTCGAAACTGCTGTGGGTTTAGGGGTTTAGGGGTTTAGGGTTTATAGGGGGGTGTAGAGTTTAGGGGTTTAGGGTTGAGGATTTAGGGTTTAGGGGTTTTTGGCTAAGGGTCCTAAACCGTAAACTCCTAAACCCCTAAACCCCCAAACCCTAAACCCTAAACCACTAAACCCTAACCCCTAAACCCCCAAACCCTAAACCCTAAACCCCTAAACCCCCAAACCCTAAACCCTAAACCTCAACCGAGCA